ATAAGAGCAGCTTCAAAATGGCCTAAAAATGCCCTTGAAATGTTCAGATTTTTGGGAAATTTTAGGGTTTCAAAAATTTCGAAAATCGAAAAAATTCAAAAAATGCAAAAATTCCAAAATTCTGAAAGTTGAAAAATTCAGGTTATTCAAATTTTTTGAAATCCAAATGTTGGATTTTTCAGAAAATTTAATTTAAAAATTCTATAAATTCTATAAATCCCAAAAATTTCGAAAAATTGCAAAAATTCTGAAAATACAAATCTTAAAATTCCAAAAATTTCGAAATCTTCAAATCCTACCATTTCGGGTTTTTTTTCAAACTTTCAGCAACAAAAATTCCTAACTCACCCGTTTCGAAATTTTCCACATTTCCAGAAATTTTCAGAATTTCAATTTTCCAAGAAAAAAAAATTTAGAATCTTCTAGAAAACAAAAAAAAAGAAGAGTCAACTAATCCAATTTCAATTTTCTTCCCCTCTTTTGCAGAAGCAAAGTAGGCTCCGCCCCCTTTTTACAACCCCTCCCACCCGCTTCTTCTCCTCTTTTCGTCTTTCGTAATTCACTAGAATTTTTTTCAAAAAAAAAAAGAAAGAAAAAAAAAGGAAATTTGAAACAACGAAAAATAGAGAGAAAGGGGAGAGAAGCTAATTATTTTTTTTTGAAATTTTTTGTTTAAAAACAGCGAGTATTGGGAATTTTTATCTAGGTAAATGATCAGTGTGTGGAAAAATGGGAATCTAGATGGAAAAATCCATTTAAAAAAGTGTGAAAAAAAACAAGGAAAATAAGAAAAATGACAACAAAAATAGGAATAGATAGGGAGACGGAAAATGGAAAAAAAAACAACGAAAACAAAGAACATTTTTCGAATTTTTCAAATTTTCAAAAAACGATTTTTAAGATTTCCGAAAGTCAGAAAACTTTGAAATTCGAAGTTCTAAAAAAATCAGAATATTTAGAATTTGAAATTTTCGGGAAAAAAAACTGAAATTTGAATTTTACAAAATTCAGAATTTGGCAATTCCAGAAAATCAAATTCTCAAAAAAAAAACTGAAATCTTGAAAATTCGAGAAAAAGAGTCGGAAATTTCAAAAATATCTGAAAATCACAAAATCCAGAATTTGAAAAAAAAATGAGAAAATTTGAAATTCCAAAAAATCAAAATTTTTTAAAATTCTGAATATTCAAATTTTGAAGTTTCGAAACGTTGAAAAAATTTTTTCAATTTTCAAAAATCCAATTTTCAGGCCAAAAAAAAACAGAATTTCTCAGTGAAATAACAATGAAATAAACAATAAAAATAGTCGAAAATAGGAGTTTTAATTAGCATTTTGACTGAAAATTGGCTGAAAATCAAGGAATTTTTAGCTCAAACAATGAAGAAGATAGGTGAAATTAATAGAAAATTAGCGCTTTTTGGGTTAAAATATGCTCCGAAAATCGGGAAAGAATTCCACCACA